TGGGCAACTTGACGAGACCTCATCTCTATAATAAATAAAAACTAGCCGGGTGTGGTAGCGCACGCCCGTAGTTCCAGTTACTTGGAAAGCTGAGGCAGAAGGATCACCGGAGCCCAGCAGGTCGAGGCTGCGGTGGCCCGGAGCGGCCACTGCACTCCAGTCTGGGTGACAGAGTGAGACTCCAACTCAAAAAAAAAAAAAAAGTAAAGAAAAGCTTAAACTTTACAGTTATCAGAGAAGTGCAAATTTTAAAGAGTGGCACAATGATTAAATGAGGACACCAAAATTGATAATGCTCACTGCTAGAGGTTGTGACAAAAAGGGTACTTCTATACACAGCTGAGAGCAGTAAACACTGGGAAACTTTGGGAAAACAACTTAGCAAAATAATCTGAGCACCATAAAAATTTTCTAATCCTCTGACCTGCTCCTGAGAATTTATCCTAGAAAAATACACAAAATGGAAAAAAGCTCTGCATACACATGCTAAAGGTAACAGTATCTCCAATGGTTCTCCCCTCCCCAAAAAGGAATAGGAGAATGTCTCCTGACAACAGGGAAATGAGAAAGCACCTTACAGTAAGTTAATGTCATGTCATATCATACAAATATTAAAAATTATAATTCTGAAAACTGTGCCAACATGGAAAATGTGATATGCAAATTTAAATGATTTTAAAATCAGTGTATAATATGATACCTGTGCTATTATTACAACATAAAAGATGTACACATATGAACAAGGAATGGACGAAAACACAAGACAATGAACAGAGGCAACGCGATGTGGTGCTAGGATTAAAGAGGATGCAGACAAGATTTGAATCTTACACTTAAAGGCCCTCCTTGTTCAAATATACAAAAACAAAAAGTGAACCACACAAATAGACAAAGCTTGTGCCTCGTTCCTCACTTAATCACACTCTTCTCAAATCAGTTAAAACTGAGCTCCTTTCAGGTAGCATTTGCTTCTTCCTTAGAAGGCTCCAACAGTTTCTTCTCTCTACTTTCTCCATTCTGGAAGCCTCAGAACACCTCTGCCGAGTGGCTAAAGCTACCTCAAGGCTTTCTCAGCTCATTTCTATGGGAGCTGGCGGCAACGGGAATGGGGAGGGAGGAGGGACAAAAACGAGCAGCACTCCCCAGGAAGGGAGGAGAAGGAAGAGTCGAATTAAGGAGAGGGGGTTCTAGACCATAACGTCCTACAGCTCACTGCTCCCAGTGCATGGGCCAAGACCTCGCATGGCCCCACGTGGGTGCAGATTACCTGTCTGCCCATCGGCACCCCATCCGCAAGAATAGACTTCTCCTTTATCCGTTAGGAACAGGCTGTGATCCTGACCACAGACGACCTGGCAGACAAACAGAAGAAACACTGCTGAGAAGGAATGGTGAGAGCCCAGGGTCCTAGTCTACGGAGTCTAAGCATCAGCACATTCCCTACTGCTCAGGAGGATGGTCCAAGCAGGCTGCTCCCTGCCTCCACATCTTTCTCAATCCACCGCACCCTGGCCATGTCTCCCACCACATTGAGCTGCTCTTACTAAAGTCCAGTGCCAGGTCGCCTAAGGAGCAAATGCAAGAGCTCTTCCAACCATCCCATCCCTGAGGAGCCCCTGTCTCCTCCATAACCCTTCTCCCCCTCTTCTTGTTTTTGAGAGAAAGGGTCTCATTCTCTGGTCCAGGCTGGATGGCACAGTGACAGCTCGCTTCAGTCTCCAGTACCTAGGTTCAAGCAATCCTCCTGTCTCAGCCTCTGGAGTAGCTGGATCACAGGCACTGGCCACCACGCCTGGCTGATGTTTTTTTTTAATCTGGTTAGACACAGGGTCTTGCTATGTTGCCCAGGCTGCCATCTCTCTCTCCTACTCTCTCGTAGCTTCCAGCCTGGATCATGAGCTCGGCCTCTACGTCACACCGCCCGGTGCTGGCATTGTTCTCCAGGATCTGTCCTCTCCCCTCTTCCCTCCTCACTCAAGCTACCCCAGGAGACTACATCCATTCCCAAGGCTTAACTGTCACCTCAGCACTGTGACCGAAGTTCCAATGATGTGCTGAGTTCCAGACTCATTTTTCTAGCTGCCTGATGAAAAGCACCATTTCTTGAACACCCATTATGCCAGGCATCGTGCTAAGTCAATAATCAAAACCACACAGGAAGAAACTGAATCTCAGAGAAGTCTGGCAGCTAGCGGAAAGTCGCTCAAGTGGAAGAGCAGGGACTTGATCTCACATTCCTGCGACTTTGAAGCCTGTGCAGGAAGCACGACCCTCTACTGCAACCTTAAAGCCAAACTCACTCCCTCCCTCCCCCTCATTTTCCCCATCCACCCAAGCCTACCTCTCCATAAAGCTCTCCGTCTAGGTGAAGAGCCAGTCTCTCCTAGGAGCACGCACTCATCTGCCCAGAGTCACACCCGACTCCCTCTAGCTCACTCCCTGACCTTGGTCAAGCCCCATCTCCCATCTCCTCCTTGCGTGTCTCTCCCACCTGCTCCTTTTCAGTTGGCCTCCCCTCCCCAATCCATGCTGTGTCCAAGACTCTCTTTCTACATGGATCATGATCCGGCTGTCACTCACCCTGCTTAGGCCCTCTGACAGCCCCTGACTGTCAAAAGACAAAGTCTAAACTCCTAGCAAGACAGACACAACCCTGCAGCGTTCACCCTCAGCCTGCCCCTAGACTGCTTCTCACCACTCCCCTGTAAGAATAACAACTCCACACTGCACACTCCCCGCACATCAACACTCAGGCTATTCCCTCCACTCTGCCAGAAAGCCTTTCCTATCACCCATCGACTTTCCAGTAAGTTCTTCTGCCGCCTCCTCCATGAAGCCTTCTCCCTTCCATCACACCCCTGGGAGACTTGACAATTCCCCTTTGAGTGCGCTCACAGCACTTTCCGTATACACTCACACAGGCATTTAGACAACTATTATAAGTACCTGCCATGTGCCAGGCCCTGTTCCAGGGATGAAGATAAAATCGTGAGCAAGATACAGCCTGCCTAGATCACCACGGCACTAATTACACTGTGACCTGGCTGGCTTTTGAGCCCGTTCTCCCACCAGATCATTATCCCCCCCAGACCTTTTTTTTTTTTTTTTTGAGTT